AAACGCCTAGAGCCTATAAAAATTGTCCAAAATGGATTTTTTTTTTAAATCTTTTCTTTAAGGATTTCCTAAGAGATACCTCACTAGCTCTTTTGAGGAAAATTATTCTAAAAGTTAAGCAAAGTTAGGTTTTTTAATGCCTTTGGTATAATTTTTACATGCCGATGAATTATTCATACCAAACTTTTGTTTTTTAATGGTTGAAATTGAAATAATTAGAATACTTACTTAGAATTACTGATAAATTTTGTAAATGTAATTTTTTACTAATGTCTAGGCTTAGAAATCTAGAGTTAATTTTTTCATGGAAGTAAATCACTAAATAATTTTATTTTTGTTTTTTTACAAATTGATGGTATTTGACTCGTTTTTGAGGTTAAGAAACTTTTTTATTTTTTTAGGTTAGGTTATGTTAGATACAGAATTCTTGAAATAAAATTCACATACTTATTGCGATGATAAACTATTAAATGTTTACTTTTATTCACGTATCATCAAGTATTATTGAATGTTAAAACAATAATACTTTATAACTTGTTTTTAACTTATGTCAGAATAGCTAAAATTAATTTCTATAAATTTAGAGTAATTTTTCTCAAAAAAGTTGGTGGGGGATCTCTTAGGAAATCCCTAAAGAAAAGATTGTAAAAAATCCATTTTGGACAATATTATAGGCTCTAGACGTTTTTGGGACTTCGAGTGTTCAATGCGGTTAATTCCAAGAAAGTAACGCAGGGGTCTTCTTGGAATTCTATTATAACAAATATCGTATGAATTGTACAATTAAGGACACTAAGAATATTGAATATATTATTTTTTCTATTATCTCTCTCTTATAACTATAAATAAAGTTAACGTGTCTCTTCTATTGATATTATAAATAGTAAAAATAAAACAAGAATATATCTGGAACAAATCATTGAAGTGACCACCTACTCCTGTATGAGTAGTACTAGATCTTTGATTGTACATTTAAACTATGTAATTTTATAGATATGTATCAGAATAAATGGCAAACTGTTGTTAACCAACATCAGATATATATCTAATAGGCCTGCAAATTTTAAATGAATGTAGTTATCACTGCTTCCTAATTTGTCAAAGCGCTACCAATTTTTGTTTTTGAATATTTGCATTTATCCAAGGATACAAGATTAATACCTGAATGAATTATTACAATAGAATTTGTCTATTCTTCTGTGTATATTTAGTTTTTCAGTAAAATTTCAAAACCCGTTGAAAAAGGACATCTGAGTATAGTACCTATTACATAAAGGTGCCTATACTTTTACGTCCCATTAACATACCCACTATTTTGTAATAAATATTCTGGTGCCTATTATAACAATTTGATTTGCTTAATCATTTCATTAAACCGCTGCTGTGTTTAATAAAGTAATACTAGGCTTTCACTTGCTACAGAGCACGGTAAATTGTTAATATCTACTTAATGCTTAAAAAAATATCTTCTGGCGATCGCGAAGATCGCGTACTTAATATGAAGGCGCCTCGAGTCAAGAAATACCTAATTATCTGTCTACCACATTTGGTATTACATTGCGAGCGCGATTTGCTTCTTTTTTTCTATTGAGAAACAAAACGGGTCGTTAAAGTGTAATACTAACACAATAAGGATATTTCCATCTCACTCGAAAACGGTATATCAACCTCGAGGTGGCGTAAAAAATTGAAAGTAATTTATTTTGAACATCACAGTTTGTTATTTCGACACATGTGCTAAATTTGGCCAAAATTGGACGCTGAGGAAATATAAATCTTAGGAAGGATCCGCCGAATCTTCGGATTAGAACACACATGGCACACTAAAAAAATTAGACGGCCGATCTGAACATTGGACACAAGAAATCAGTGTTTTTAAAAATAATTAGTGAATTTCCTATGAGCATAACAAGGCTATATTGAAATAAAAATTATTAAGTACTTAGTTTTTCTACAGCTCACGTGATATTCAAAAACGCAATAAAATTGGTTTGATATGTTCCACCAATGTTGTACTTTAATGTAAAATAAAAAAATTGAAATTGCTATGAAACAGTGACAAATGAAAAATACAGTTTTATTTTTCATTTAAAATGAAAGTTGTTCAGGAAAATGCAGTCCGTACAATATTTGTTGAATTCCAAGAAAAGAGCAAGCCAATAAAGTTCTGTTATCAGAACTACTGTAACAATATACCGCGGCATAGATATCTACCTACAACAAATGTCGTACGGACTGTACTAAATAATTTTACATGATACAGAGTCGTACTATTTTATTTATACTATTATTATTTATTATCCATATATATCCCCCCCTCTTTGTTTGGGGAATGTAATATCCAATATTAATACAATATGTCTAGGTATAATGCGTACCAGATTTAGTTTTATAGTACCTCGATGATTTTTCAAAAAATGTTGAAATAAATGTGAAATATCTAAATTATTTTTAAAAGTACTGTCATATACTCTGACTATCTCTTATACAGGATGTATCTAAATAACATCGAAAAAGTGTAAGAGGCAATTCTAAATTAATAGGGATATTTGGTATAAAATTTTTTGAAAAAACTCACCTGAAAAGTTACACCCCTTCAAAAATTTTTAAAAAAATTCGTTTCCTTTTTTATCTTCCATGTATATCAAGTTAAAGAAAGCAAATTTGGCGATCATTATCTGTCAAAAAAGGCAAAATATACTCGCGTTAAACAGCTCATCCTTTTAAAAATGCATTGCAATACATTTATTTTTTATCTCATAAATCCTTTTTTGAAAAAATTTGAAGAGATCAAAAAGTTAGTAAGTGAATGGGGCTTTTTAGACATCATTTTCAAAAAGCAAAAAATTTTATCAAAAAAAATTTATAAGAAAACATGTCATAGAGGTTCATTATTTCAACCCCTTACAAAAATACTTGAGGGTTGAAAAAAACCTCAGAAAGTGTAGTTTTTTGACAGATAATGTTCACCAAGTTTGGTTTCTTTCTCTTGATATACATGAAAGATAAAAAAGAAAAACAATTTTTTTTAATTTTTGGAGAGTAACATTTCAGGCGCGAGTTTTTTCAAAAATTTTATACCTAAGACGCCTTTTAATTTTCATCAGAGAATCGCTCCTTACATTTTTTCGGTGTTATTTAGATACACCCTGTATAGTTGACAATTTTTATGAATAATTTCTAACGATGAACATTTGTGTTGCTCTCATGCATATACAACAGGGTGTTCGAAGTTTTAATCACAAAAATTCATGAACCCATAGAGTAAGTAAAAATGCTATAGAAACCTTTTTTTTCGACACCTCACCATTTGTGTGATACAGAGTGTTAAAGTTTAAAAAAAATTGTATCTCTATCTTCCGAACAAATAAAGTCATGGCAACGAAATTATGTTTACTATAAGCATATATAAAATAGTGTTCAACGAAAAAAAAATTAAGTCCTAATTTAAATCAATGGCGTGGATGTGAGGTACTCCAGTTATACTTTTTTGAAAAATTATGACGGGAAAAACTATTTTTAAGCTTTTTGCATATTTTTTGGTCCAAATGAGCAAGTTGTAAAGATGATACGTTTCGATAAATTGAAAATTGTACAGGGTGTTAGACAGCAATGTATCAAAAATTTCTCGTCCTAATTTAAAATGTTTTTCTTATTTAAATATTGAGTTAAAGTGAAAAAATTAGAGTAGCAGCAGATTTATCAAAATACAGCAATCTTTAAAGTTATAAGAAAATACGTGAGAAGACGTACCTATTTAAAAGTCTATTGAGGAAAAGGGACGTCATTTTGAAAACCATTTATATAAATTCTGTACCAAAATAAAAATTGTGCAAAAAAGTCTATAGAACATTTTCGTTTAAAATAAATTTCAATTCTCTTTTTCCAATGACATGTCACTGTGGATAGTTTTAGTTTTTTCTTTATTTATTTTGGTATTTTTTATCAGCGAAAAAAGTAATGGAATAAACGCTTACGCCAAATAATCAACCAAAGGTTATTTTTATGAAAACAGTTTGTCTAATTAATAATCTCACACTAAAACAAGCAGACAAAGAATAAAAAATACACATCACTATATATAGCGCACTTCAATAAGTTGCTGACTTTTCGAAAATCCGATTTTTGGTTTGGCAAAACTATTTTCTTAAAAAAACACTAGACTAATCTTTTTCGCTCAACGGTTTATATCACCGATTTTTTAATTTTTTTCACGGGTGACAAAATACCCAAACAGATAATTTTTGAGGCAAATATAAGCATATTCCACATTCACGTCATTAGTTGGAGCTGAGACTTAATTTTTTCACGTTACATGACATTTTATTAATGTATTAAGCATCCAAAGTTTCATTTTAATATCTTCATTTGTTCAAAAGATACTTAGAGACACATTTTTTGCAAATTTTGACATATGGTTTCTCAAAAGTTGAGTTTCGAAAAAATGTTTATATAGCAAAAGGACATTATTTTTACTTACTCTATGCACATCTGAATTTTTTGTGTGTAATTAAAACAAACATTTTCAAAGCATCTATAAAATATAAAATTTTAACACTGTAATTGTGAAAAAAAATATTTCTGTAGGTATTTTAGTTCCATATAAAAATTTTCATTTGACCAAAATACTAAATTCTTTTGAATGTTAACTATTATAAAAATCAGAGACTTTTAAAGTTTTTTGTTCAAGTACAGTATTTCAAAATGTCTAATTTTTCTATTTTTTTAACTGCCCGTTAATTTTTAACATTGTGCTTATCGAGAGAGCGATTTCAATTAGTTATTTAACAGATTTCTCATTTTTTAACCCCACATTTTCCATCCCTAATCCCAAACGTCTGCCAAGGGTCCGACCGATCACACATCACAATATTCAGACACAGGAACTGTCCATACTTACACTTGTTACGATTCAACGATTTTCACAAAGCAATATTTTTATCCCCCAAAAGCAGCACAATCCCTTATTAAACCATCCACACGCCACTGCACTGCCTTACCTGTGCAAAAACAAATCCTAAACGCAATAAGTGACTATAAACTAACTAAATGCATCCTCTCATCATATCCCTTTTATATACGGACACAGTGTGATGCTACCACGATCCCCCAAATGAGTTTAGCGGCTTTCTTCTAAACCGGCTACCCGACGAATTGGCTGGCCGGATGGATGGAGAGAGTAACTATGGCACGAAAATATAAAAATGTTTAATAATATTTAATGAAGCTAGTAGGGGTAGGTAAGGAGAGGAAAAACGTCTCCAGTTTTTCGGTGTTTGCTGACGAGGGCCGATAACTCCGAAATGTTAAAAGTGCTTCTAAATTCCTTAATCAATAATTTAATTACAGACTTAGTTTGTTGCTTGTCCAAAGTTTCAACGATTAATTAAATTTTCGTAATGGATTTCCACTTTTTTGTGTTAATTTTGAAAAATTCTGGCTGTGCGATATTCAAATTCAAATTAGTAGTTTTTACAAAGTACAGGTAACTTACAAATTGTTAATATTTACATAATTATTTCAACCCCAATTAACATAGCAATAATATAAGCTGCTAGGTTTAAATATTTCTAGTACAAAGTTTTAAAAAATATTCTATGAAAACCGAGATGAAAATCAACACTTAACAAATATTTTTCGGAATCAATTTTATTAATCAATATTTGTAATTACAGGTTGAATTAAATTTAACATGGGCAGTGGCACAACTAGAAAAAGTTTTACGGGAAACGAAGTTTACTAAGCATAGATTGTAGAAAAAGTTGTAATAAAAATAAATCCATGGCTCAAGAATATGTGATAGTACTTTTGAAAATAAATAAGGTTTTTCATATGTTCCAAAAATGCCTCCTTCTTGAAAAAAAAAGACGATAAAGTTTCAAAGAAAAAATCTGCAATTTTTCATATTTTACAATCTAATGTACTATTCTCTAAACAATCAGTGGCGGAGTTAAGGGCGTTTCCTTTGATTAATTTAATATAAGTAGTACAATCCTGTAAAAGCAATTCGAATTTTTGAATAAGCCTTCTTAAATGAAAAGTATCTTTTAATATTTTTTCATATCACATTTGTTGATATTTTTTATTTCACAGCGAAATACAATGGCCATAGAACTAATTTCTTGTTTGACTCAGTTTTTTTAAAACAAAAAACATTTTTCTAAGTCAAAATTTGAATAGCTTGTTTTAAAAATTAATTTACTGATACTATCATTTTTCTAGAACACGAACGTTACTTTTATTATCTCGATCAATTAAAAATATTGCATTCTTCATTGCCAAGCATCCAAGTATTTCGTCATTTTGGTTAAGAGCTTTTTTAGATTTTAACGAACCCTGAGATATATTGTTCAATTGTCCTTAAAATAAATGTGCATGGTTTCAGTTGAAAGCAGCAATTTACTTTTTGCGAATGCAAAGATAAATCTTCCAAAGAGGTAATTAACTAATTTGATTTATTGACACTTAAATTAAATAAATAATAACATGTAAAAAAATGTATGTGTATTTTGCTGTTTTAACATTTGCAATTTTTTTAGCCAGTGTTTTAGTTTAATATATGATTTTCTTGATGGAAAAGATAAAAAAATGTTAATAAGGAAATCCTTTTTTTTTCAGTAAAATATTTCCCAAATCTTAAATAAGTTATTAATCCTTTGAAATGTCTTTACAGAAGAAATCTTCTTTGGAAGAGATAAAAGATAGAGCCAGTATCGCACACGCTAGTTCAAGGTTTTCACTTTCATTGACCTTGCAGTCAATATTCATTGGAGATTGTATTGGAAACGGCGTTGTTTTATGAGTTTCTATAAACAATTTAATATATGAGTATTGTGTCAATAGTATCAGAGGCGTTGTATTAAAAATTGATAATATACTTATTATCAAAATATATGAACAGTAAGTTAAGTTATAGTATTTGTTAGAATTTAAAATTTTCTTTGAGATTTTTCTTAAAACTCATTATATTCGTACAAAAGAACCCACATTAATTAAAAAAATATATTTCTCAGTGTCTGTCCCATTCACTGCTTTTTAATATTTGTTTTTAAATAAGAAAATACTATTTCCTATGAGACTTGTTTCCATGGTATCATGACTTTGTATTAAGATTAGGCTCTCAGAAGATGATGAAGATTTTAATTCTCTAGACAGAAAATTATATAATTTTTTTGATTGGTAACATAATTTGGATTTAATTTTTATGTACAGTTAATTTTTCTATAGTCGAATATTATCGATTTATTGAGAATTTGTAAGTTCAGTTTGTCTAAATTATAAAAAATATTTACGAACCTTATTAAAACCTAGGTTTCTAAGGCCTAACTCTATATGTAAGGATTAATTTCATAAATAAACTTTTTTTTTGCTTTCTAAACATCAAATTAATTATAAAAAACATTTTTTTTATTTTATTTTAAAGCTAATTTAATTAGCTTAAATTAATGTCTTTCATAAACAAACGAAAATGCTAAAAGAACTTAAGCATAAATTTAATAAATATACGCTATAATTTAGCAATTACAATTAACATAGGCCTTATATGGGTCACTTATTTATTAATGAGATTACTCTGTTTTTTTACTTAATCTTTCAGGCCCAAGGTTTTTAAAATTAAGGTTTTGTTTAGAGTCTCTTTTCTACTCAGACATCTATGTTAATATTAATTCAACTAATGGTGTGGGTTGTCATTTTAAAATGAACCCATTAATCAATTCAATGAAATAATTAGGTGTGTGACATTAGATATCAGTTTTGATACTGATTAAAACAACGCCCATATACCACTACAGGGCGATCTTTTTGATGCTTTATTTCACATAATGTAGGAAAATAGGCAAATAGTATTTTTGCTGCTATATATAAAGTTATGTTGATTTAAATTACAAATAAACCATAATAGAGCAAATTATGTATTATTTTTTAGTTTCCACAAAGTAACACGCTTTCTGTGATCAAACATCAAACATTCCTTTTGGACCATAAACAATTTTTTTATTTATTTAGGTTGCTAACATTATCAATAAGATAAATGTTGTGCAAACTATAAGATATAAAATAATAATAACATAATATTTAGAAAATGATTTATTTTTAAACAAGGAACTTACATACGTATAGTGATTGAAAATATTGTGACAGAATCACCTCATTTTTAACTAAAACCTGACGGCATTCATGATTCGATTTTGAAAATTTTGTTCTGTGTTTCTTCAACATTAAACTGAAATGATATTTTAAAATTAAACAGACCTGTCAGAAACGCCGAAAATAACAGTTAAATTCATACTACATTTGCAAAAAATACTATAACAGCATCATACAATGGGTGGACTTGTCCCTATACAGTTTCTGTATCTGATAATAATCCAGATAGCTCTCTATACGGGGTAATTCACAACTTATCCAAAAAAATTTAGGAATAGATGCGGCATGAGAAATGAAGTCAATACCGTAAAAAAAAAATTGTAAAATCCTTATAGTTTCCGAGAAAAAAATTATTAAAGTTGTAGTACATTCAACCATTACATAGCTGGACAACTATAGTCTCTGGTGTCATTTGCAATACGCGTAAAGAGCCACGTGGCCTCAGCGACTCGGAATACTGAAATCCGATTTTACAATCGTCGTTGCGATAGTGTTTTTATCTGTGGTGTTTACAATAGTTTTTTTAGTAGTTAGTGTCAAAAATGGTTTGCGTGTATAGCAACTCGGAGTTGATGGATTATTTTAGCATTTATGTTATGGTGAAGCAAGACAACATTTGTGTAAGTTCATAGAAACTGAGTAAGACGGACCCAAATGTGTTTACAAGTCGGTGGAAAAAATTTTGTACCGGGTATGTCAAATTATAACAATAACGGCAAAAGCAGTTATATTTGCTGATATAAAATATGTGCTATAAAATTTTTTGTCCATTTTTATCATACAACATTTGTGTTAGTTCATAGAAATGAGTAAGACGGACCCAAATGTGTTTACACGTCGGTGGAACAAATTTTGTACCGGGTATGTCAAATTATAACAATAACGGCAAAAGCAGTTATATTTACTGATATAAAATATGTGCTATAAAATTTTTTGTCCATTTTTATCATACTTTGCCGCCATGCCGGTCGCAATGTGAGGGATCAGGTTTTACAGTGGACCAGTTTTCAATGCCTTGCAGAAGTGTATTTTTAAATTATTTTCGAACTGCCCTTTTTGATTTCTTCTTTACAAAATTGTATTTGTAAGAGTCCCTGTACATTCAAAATTTTTTATTTGGATAAGGTCTAAATCACCCTGTATAGTTTATACTTTGTGGCAAAATGTTATCACCTTGTTTTACTTTGCTAAATAGTTTTAGCTACATATTTACAAAAATTCTCCCCAGAAATTAAGCTAATTTATAAGAATAGTATAAGAAGAATCACAAAAATTTAGTTAGCTTCGTATTTTAATCTAAAAAATCATAAATTTGCAATTTTAATTTTATCTTAAATCTGGCGTTCTATAGACAAGAAATCGCACTTTTAATATGACAATGACAGAACAGGTAAATCCATCCAGGAAGTAATTGAAAGATCACGGAGAACATGTAAACATCAGAAAATTTACAATTTCTGTTTTGTCCAGCAAATTTGTAAAAATACTCAATAATTGTGGTTAATGCACGTGTTAATAATTTCCCAAAAACATTATGCGAGGTGTGATTATGTTTATAGTACCGCACTCGATTTTCTGTATATTCAATAGACGTGCAAAAGTCAGGAAACGTAAAAATAAACGTACGAGGTAAAAATATGCTTGTTTTCCTTATTTTTGAATGTACTGTTAGTTGTTTTAAACCCTGAAGAAAACTTATATAACTGTTACAGAGAAGAGAAATTGTTTCCAACTTCCTTAGATTTTCTAAAATGCTAGATAAAATATTAAACGCCCCTTATTAACCCCCCCCCCCCCCTTTAAGAGGTTAAAATACATAATAGTTTCAGCTCGACAGAAAATGTAACTTTCGTATCGAATAAGCCGTTAGAAAATGCATACTTCGCAC